CCCCCCCAGGTGTTTCTATCCAGTCTTCTTCCATCTCCAGATGCTTTGGGAGTTGGTGTTGCTGGGGGAGGCACTTGTTGTCATGGCGCCATCACCAGCCGAGTCATCTGATACTGTGCTAGCTTTGGTCAGGTAAGTTAGCAGCGGTTATTGTGCCAGGATAATATATAGACCAGTACTTAACAACAAACCCAAAGCTAATTTTTATATAATTTTGTGTTTTCATGTTCAGGAAAATTTGATGTATGACACCTAGACATGTCTTCCTGTTATAAATGTGTTATAAAGTTTAATTTATAGTCCAGCAAATGAGTCGGTCTACATATGTTTCTGTTTGTACTGTGATCAGACAGGTGTTTTTCCATCCAACGCACACTGTCATATGTGTCAGTAAAATGCTGATCGCATTTTATTTAAAATGTGAATACTTGAGATGTCTACAAAATAAGTGTGATTTTATTAATAAAAAACCCCCCAACTTAATCCTGTCGCCTTCACGTGTTTTATGTTGAAAAAAAGTCACAAAAATGCCAGATGTACCAAAACTTATAAAAATTAAAATTCAAATATTAAGACTGACATTTACTTCTTCTTTTTTTTCTTTTTTTTTTTTTTTTAATTTGTCAGAAGGTTCAGTAAACACTCTAGTTTAAAACATTTTCTAACATTTTTAATGTTTTTTTTCCCCCTCTGCAGCTGCATTGCTCCTCTGCGTTACTGCAGTGATTTCCGGCCGTACTTCACCATTCATGACAGTGAGTTTAAGGAGTACACCACCAGGACGCAGGCTCCGTAAGTAAAAATAAAATGACGCCATGCTGTTGTGTCATTGGTATTAGTAGCTGGGATAAATTTGTGGACAGTGGAGCGATCAGCTGGTGAAGAGTCTGTTGCCACGAGTAGATTTGTAAAACAAAAAGTATCTATTTCACCTTCAAATAAATCAAAATGAGCAAGGAAAATAAATCAATTTAATCATGCAATAAAGTCCCTAAATTAATTTTAAATATAGCAACAGGAGCTGCTGGAACAGGCTGCCACTCCATACAGCAGCTGGAAAAAAGTGATGATAGGGCGTGGTCATTCAGGATGTTTGAAATTCTAATTTAAAAGGGAGCCAATGAACAGAAGTTACTTTGTTAGAAATTTGTTGAGTGTTGAAAATTGTTTTCTGCTTATTGGTGTTAAAAGTTATTAATCTGTGTTTTCGCAGGCCGTCAGTCATTCTAGGAGTGACCAATCCTTTTTTTGCAAAAACGCTGCAGCACTGGCCGCACATCATCCGCATCGGAGACATGAAACAAGCAGGTAAACGTTACAGCTTCAGCAAACTGAGACATACAGGTTCTCAAACCTGTTCAAAAAGATGTCTCTGTGCAAAAAGTGTGTTAATGAAGTAGGTAATGATGTATTGAAATGGAGGAGAAATATCAACCTGTCTGATCACTCTTTTCACCACCTGGCACTCACAGGAGAGATGGCCAAGCAGATGAAAGTCAAGAAACTGAAAAACCTCAAAACTCTGGACTCTAAACCCGGTAGATATTTCACATCCCCCTTTTATTCTATTTATTTTTCTGTATTATAAAGATTTTTTACTTTTTTTAATATTACACGAAATCTCTCACACTCACACACACACACACACACACACACACACACACACACACACACACACACACACACATTGTGAAAGAGGTCCCGCAATAACTAAAAAAACAGTCTGATAAGTGTGTGTGTGTGTGTGTGTGTGTGTGTGTGTGTGTGTTCTGTAGGTGTGTACACTGCATATAAACCGTATCTCAACAAAGATGAAGAAATCATCAAACAGCTTCAGAAGGTGAGATATTTCCCATTTTTAAGCATCCCCTTATTCATTATTGAAAATATGAAATATTTTTATGTATTTTCTTGTTTTGCAGGGTGTTCAACAGAAGAGACCCTCTGCAGCCCAGAATGCAATTCTTCGGCGCTACTTCTTAGAACTGACACAAAGCTTCATCATTCCACTGGTAACAACCAATTACTTTATGTATGTGGTATCCTCCAATCAGATCCAAGAACTCTATAATGAATGCTGTGTTTTTTAGAGTTGAATCTGAGTTTGAAAGATTTCACAGAAGTGGATTTAACTCTGATACATCGGGCTATGAAGCTGTAAATATGTGATTTTAATTTTACAAATGACAATAAGCATTTTAGGCTTCAACTAAAATGATTTGTTCGTGTGGTGCAGGAGCGGTACGTGGCCAGTCTGATGCCTCTCCAAAAGTCCATCAGTCCCTGGAAGAGTCCTCCTCAGCTACGACCGTTCATACAGCAGGACTTCATGAAGACACTGGAGAAAGCTGGACCTCAGCTTACGTCCAGACTGAAAGGAGACTGGATAGGACTCTACAGGTGCAGGCATAAGCCTTTATTTAAAAAATCTATCTGCAGAAGTTAATTTATCACATGGAAATCTGTATTTTTAAGTTCATAAGCCATAGAGGTTTTTACTGGGTTAAGTATGAATGGTTTGATTGTAACACAGACTGAAAAGATGTCAGTAGTGAATCACTGACATGTTGTCGGAATGCAGACTATCCCGAGTGTCATATGAACTCTTTTTTTTTTTTTTTTCTCTTCTTAAATTTAAAGGCATTTCCTCAAGTCTCCCAACTTTGACGGCTGGTTCCGCAACAGGAGGAAAGAGATGACGCAGAAACTGGAAGCCCTGCACCTCGAAGCGCTGTGTGAGGAGGTGAGGAGGAGAAAGGCTTGGAGTGTATAAAGATCGGGCTGAGTCTGTCTGAAACATTATTTTAGTGTTTTATGCTTTTAAGTTAACTTCTGATTGGCTCCTCAAGGTTTGAACAGCAGGTGGGTGGAACTTGAGGGACCATGAAAAGGCAATATCCAAAGCATCATAGAAATTCAAGATTAAACTAACTGTGTTTAGAGTGGTCTGAGGTTTTGGCTCTCTGAACATAAAGTTGAGCATAATTATTATTATTTTCTGTTTTTACATAGATGGGATGTTAGAAAGTAGTTAAGCTCTCTATATCTTAATGGCCATCAGTCAACAGCGACTCAATTCAACAATATCAGTGTTGAATTGAGTCATAAAATGTAATGAGTACCCTTGAATTGAGTCCCAGACACCTTTATCGATCTCCATGTCATTTGTTCTTCTGCAGGATCTCCAGAAGAGAATCCAGAAGCACACAGAGGTGGAGACAGTCGATCTGGTCCTGAAGCTGAAAGACAAACTGGTCTGTAAAGATGATTCATGGTCTATAACTTTAATATTACTGCCTCTACTAAAACCTCCTGTACTTTTACTGCTAAACTACGGCTCTGCTACTAGCACAACAGCTAATAGTCCTGTAGCTTTTCTCTTTTCTTGCAAAGTTAATAGATGTTGAGGTCATAAAATTTTGGGCACGGACCGATAAAAATCAAAACCAAAATGTGCCTGCATTATCTGTTCATTCTCAGTCAGCACACACATGACATACACCAAACTAGGTTTTTTGTTTTACATTAAATATTCAGTGCAGTGTCAACATGCTGCACATCCACCATAATTACTGCACTGGCTACAGGTCTTCTGGCTGGGGTGTCATTTATTGGGAGGAGTTAAGTGATGCTAACATGGTGCTAAGTAAGCTAAATAAGCTTCAGCTACTGTAAAACTGCACTGAATCTGAACCATAGGCAACATGACCGGTTTATCTGTTGGATTAAAGTTTGTGCTAGTGTTTTATAAGGCAGTGAAGTGAGTGCGTAGCATAGAACTTTTTTTTATGTGTTGCATGGATGGGTCGATGGATGTATCATAAGAAATGAAGAACTGACATCATTCATGATTACAAGCCTTTTTAAAAAGCCTAAAATAAATTTAGGAGGAGTGCCAAAGTCTTAAATCTAACCGGGCTTAAGCTGTGGGAACCCAGCTTCTTTCAGGTCTGGGAGCTGTGCAGTTTAAAACTGATTTAAAACATGACATTCAGGTTCACTTGAAGCAGAAATTGATCTTTATTCTCTGTAAAGTTTGAGCTGTGTCTGAAATTGCAAAACACACAGTGCAAATGGTCAGAACAGGATGCAGGCACTGGAAGCTGCCTGAACACGCCCAGGAGGATGGCAGGTTAAAGGTCATCTTCTTTCTCGGGCAGATGACCTTCAACTCAAGGTCCATCAAATTAAAAAAAATAAATAAATTAAAAAAAAAAAAATTTCTCCCTGCCTTGAATTCCTCCTACTTCTTTTACTTTACTTTTACTGACACAGCATACATGGCTGTGCTTGTTAGTAATCCCTGCTGATGCACCTGGTATCTTGCATCTGCTGCATCTTCAGCCTGTTGGATGAAGCATTTTTGTCTCACTGTGCTCTTTGCTGCAGACTCAGGCGGAGAGGGAGAAGTTACCAGTGCATCCCGGGACCTTGGAGAAGCTGAGAGCCCATATCGAGGGTGTCATCCTGACCTTACCAGAGGACCTGCAGGGCATCCTTCACAAGCCCACCACGCTCTGACCTCTAACCCTGCAGGCTGCAACACTAACCCCCAGTTAAAGCTTGTTTTAAAGTTTTGGGTGGGGGGGCTTGGTGGCTCTCCTCCCAGTCAGTTTCCAAGGTGAGGGTGATGTGGACCCTTTCACTCAGACTGGGTGCCAGTTTAAATCTGCTCGGGTCTAAGATGGAAAGCACATACTTGGGTGCCAGCTCTCAATGAGTCAGACTAAACAGCATGTCAGTGATCATGTGGGTATTTCTTTTTTTTTTTTTTTTTTTTTTTAAATCACTGCTACATTACTACATGAAGAAAGCCTGGAGGGCTCGATCCTGATAGCATTTTCTGAACAGTCTGAGGCTGCGTGCGCAAGCAACAAGAAGATGGCTTTTACTGACCTTTGACCCTGGACGTTTTTACCTCCTTAACATTTTTTTGTTTGTTTGTTTGTTTTTTAAACATTGATGGTGGGTCGCTGCAGTCTAACTGAACAAAATCTGGAAATGTAAAAAGTTTCCCGAAGAAGTGCACTTCATCCATAATTGGACCAGTGTGCCCTTCTCACACCTTTATGCAAACAAGCTGAGCCAAGCAGTGCTTTATAATGTGATGTTACTAAAACACACACACACAGCACTAACCACCAGCGACCCCTGCAATAACTCTCTGCAGGAGCCAGTCATCTTTTTTTATCCGTGTCACATGATCGTTACATGACCTATCAAAATGAAATTCAGAATGGTCTTTATATTTGTTTGTTTTTCTGTTGTTGTTTGCTTTGCTTTGTTCTTTTAACATCTGAAGTTTTGTGTCACTCTTGTGTAAAATCATGTAGAATCTCCTCCGACAGGCCCGTATCCACCAAGAAAGAAAAATAGATCATTTGAAAAATACTTGCAGAAATGCAAATTTATAAGATATCTGTTTGGGGGTTTTTTTTATATTTTTTTTAAATTTTTTTAATTTTAAATGAAAAGGAAAAAAAGTTTTTCATTTGAATGAATGAGAGGACACCAAAAAATCTGAGCTAGTTTGATGTCTAGAGATAATAATTGTTTTATGATAATCGGTAATAATGAGAGATTGACTTTCTGCGTGTTGTTCGTGAACTTTCTTCTTTTCTCCTGATTAGTGTCACTGTCACAATCAGGTAATTCCTGTATCTTATTGACTTCAATTTTAAAGGGTTCACAAATTGTTCTTAGAAGTTATTTGGCCATTTTAACACTTTTACTTGAAGTATATTCTAATTTCGTATATTTTTAAAAACATTTAAAATGGTGGAATGGACTTTTATTGTGAAAAACTGAAGCTTGAGCCTTCCTTTCTTTCCAGAAAGAAAGGAAGGCTCTGGGTCATAAAAGTGGGGGATCACCGCAGCAGTTGGCGCCACATGTTTGATTTGGCATTTTTAAAGCTCTTTACTCTTTCAATTCAGCGCAATTCTTAAACGTTTGTTTCTCATCGCAGGATCAAACCGTATCCGTTTCCGCTCGAGATCGTTCATAGAAAAATAAACTTTTTAAAAGCCAAAACAACTCTTTTAAGCAATTATTTTAATGCACTTTCAAGTCCTTGCTATGAACTGAAATAAACTGTCAGTTGTTTTGATTTTAAAAAGGTTTATTTTCTATATTTAGTTTAGTTTTTTCCTGAAAATTATCATCAACTTGTATAAAGATAAATAGAAGCTGTTCTGTCTTATTCACCTGACAAAAAAATTCTTGATTGTAGAGCAGTTTGGATGACACAAAGTCTGAGACTCAGTAAGGGTGGAGTGCCCCATGTGGGTTGGGAATAAGTTGCTACCTGAATTGGAGGGTTTTTGTGTGTTCTTGTTCAGGAGTGAGGGTGGAGTGGAAGCAGAGCTGGGCAAACAGATTTGTGTGGAGTCAGCTGTGGTACTGGGTGTTAAACTGAAGCTGCTTATCTACATTTCTACCCTCACTGTTGTGAGTACTGAGTGATGGCTGCAGATACAAGCTGTGAGCTTCCTCTGAAGTTTGCTATAGGGTGCGAAGCTTGGTCAGAGTAGAGCAGCTCTTCTCTACATGGAAAGGAGGCAGTTGTGGTGGTTCATCGGTGTAAGATGCCTCCAGAGCACCTCCTAGATGAGGCGTCTTTGGCATGTCCTACTGGAAGGAGGTCTCAGTGCAAACTAGGACACGCTGGAGAGATTGTCTCTCAGCTGGCTTGTGAACACTTGTGTCTCCCCAGAAGTGCTGGTGACAGGGAGTTTTAGATTACTCTGCTGAGGCTGCTGGCCCTGTGAGCTGGTTCCAAAAAAGAGGCAGAAAATGGATAGATGGCTGGGGAGGGGGTGGAGCTTTCAAAAATGGCACTGCTGTGCTTTAAAATGTGTTCATTCTAATGACTAACAAACAATGAACTTTCTATGTATAATAGTGGACACGGTTGCTCAGGATAATACACAGATGCTGATTCTTCACATTATATTTAATTTTAGGAGGTTTAAATTATTGTGAGACTTTTTGTTTGTTTGCTTGTTTTGCCTCAGACCTTTCAAAATGAGTTAAAGCTATCGAACACATTGCGAACAAAAAACACTTTGACTAAAGAGATCTCAACTGGCTGCTCTTTATGTAATACCACTTTGTATCACAAGATGGTGCAGTGAGTCAGTGTAACCTTTAGTTAACCTGGCAGATTATTTAGAGCCCATATTTACAAAATGAAAAGCTTTGTGCAGAAATCGATATAAAGCTAAAAATTTATATTAAAAGTCAAGCTGCAACAAGAGCTCCTTCATAGCACACGATGATTAAACATGGAAATCAAGAAAGCCTGCTAAATGTTGAATTTTATGATTGCATCACTATGATCTGTGATATTTCAAAGATTTCTGTACATTTTCTAAAACGTAGAAGCAATAATGGTTTAACAACTTGGCAGTTTGATTTTTCAGAAGACAAATTGATATGCCTCGCTCTAATTTTTCTGAAAGAGATTACATACGTCGGCACATACAGTTGTTTTATGTTTGCGTTGTACATCATCGGAACATTGAATGGACTTGCAAGCTTGTGGATTTGTTTTCCTGCCATCATGTAACAGCTGTTTTATAAATGCTTTGAATTTTGCCTTTTTTATTGAGCAGACAACAGTAAAGACAAAAAAAATGTACTGGTTGGATAAACCTGTGACATCTGGTTGTTGGGCAACCATGCAAAATTTATATTTGTATTTAAAAAAAAGTAATATTTTACAACTTTCAATGTTTTAATGGAGGGCTATTCTTATTCCACAGTGTAGCAGCTGAGGAGTTTTTTTGTACATAAAGCTGTAAAGTAAAATGTTCGCCCACATATGAGGATGTATGATAATTATTTTGCTATTCAAACAGATGTCTTTGCTAATTATTAACTATAGTGACACCACTGCAGCGATGAATAGCTTTTACGAGAATATTTACACTGCCCTGGAGGCACAGGGACATCTTGAATTTGTAGATTTTTCTCCAAAAGATACAAGTCTCTTACCAACAGAGGTGTGATAAGAGACTGGAACATCATGCCATCAAAAAACCCAAATTATGTACAAATAAAGAGATGAAATCTAAGACTATTTATATGAAAAAGTAGCAATAATGAAGTTTTAAGTTATTCTGTAAATTTGCAAAAATTATAAGAAAGAATTTGATTAAAATCAAAATAGTGCAGTGAGACGCTGAACTACAAACAGTTACACCATTATTTACAATATTATCATTTAGCATTATTAACATGATATTTAATTTTTAAACATTGTGTTTATCGTCAGTACTTAAGTGTCGTGTAGGGTGGCCAGATCCCAGTGAACTACGTTAAGATAAAAATGTTTAGTTTTAGGTCACATGTTTGACTTCGATCATGTGACATGTCATTTGAATGCATTTCCCCTGATTTTGAGAAGCATAAATTGAAGCTGATGTTTATTTCTGTGATCTTGTGTCGTGTTTCCTTTTTCTTGTGTTAAAACTGCTGTTCTGTCTGATAAGCAGAAAGGTTTTTAGACACGTTTCCTCTGAAACACGTGCTTACTTTAGTAAACTTTAACAAACTATGTGGAGAGTGTCTCAAAATGTGGAAGAAGGGAGATGAAATTTAAATGACCTGGTCACCCTATTCTTAAGATACTCCTAGATATAATCTGCTTTTTTACAGCAGGTCTAAATCTGCTGCTTCTCTCTGTATGAGGTAAATGCAAGTTCCTGACAGACAGATGGTTAAAATAAAAATCTGTTTATGGCAAATAATTCTGGTTTGATGGAGGATGGATGTCTCAAACACCTGGTTAAGGTTAGACTTAAGCTTATGTTTTAAATACTGTCTTATGCAGCTGTGGGACACATGTAGAAATTAGATTTAAAAGTCTCCTTCAGAGGCATTTTCCCCTCAAATTAATGTAAAGTGTAGAGAAAAATGACACTACAAATTCAAAATGTCTCAAAGCCATTGTTTTTAAATATGCATTTTTGCTCCATTGACTTTTTATTTTATGTTTTTTTTAAATTGAAGCCATAACCACTACGCTCAACCGCTCTAACAGCCTGAAGCACTGCAGCTGTGGTGATGAGACTCGTTATGATGAAAGTCATGCTGACCTACTTTTTTAATATAAGCAAATGATTATTGAACTTGTTTGAGTGGCCTTCCTGCGGTGCATCTTTCACAACATTGTTTTTGCTTCTGAAACAGTATTACAGTGAAACAAAATTCATCCAGCAGCTGTTTTTGAATGTTTGTAAAGGTTGATGCAGATGACCGACGGCTGCTGCTAAAACTCATGCAGCATGTCGCTGTTTGATTAAATGTTTGAAAAGGCTGCTGTTTGGATGAGGTCAGAGGATTTTTCATGCTACATGTCTCGTTCAGTGGGGTCACTGACGTTAACTGGTGTGTTTTGTTTTGTGTCATTAAACTGACTTCTTAAAATGTAAAGGATCTCTTGCTTGTTTTCTGAGGAGCTCCTATCAAAGATTCTCCAGTGCTGTACGAGGGCAAGGATTTCTTTAGAGTCACGTTTTTGGTCTTTAATGATCTGTAGGGGCCCAACACAGATGCAGATGAGTAAGATCTGCCTTGTACTAAAGGGTTAATTGTTGCTGAAGAGTTTATTTTAGTCTTTTTTCACTAAACCCATTTAAGTACCTTTGTTAGCTTGTCCTAATCAAACTGCAACAAAAAACCCTGCTTCATATTAAAACTGTCTTCCTGCCATCTCTTGATTACAATCTGGATTATGTGATCAGTAGAAGGCCAAAATGGACTACCAAAACTGGATCATTTTTTTAGATTACACCTTCTGAACAACTGGACCCTGGGTGTAAACCCCCCTGCTGGCTCGGGTCTTTCTCGGAGGACTTTGTACTCTCTAAATACTCTGAATACTTCCACCCAAACGTCAAAGGCATGCATATTAAACTTAATAAGTGCTAGTTTCCCATCACTCACTAGGATGGGTTTCAGCCCCAAATTTGTTTTTCCACTAAAAATGTTAATACAACTAATAATCTCAAACAAAATAAAACTTTTTTTGAAGTTTGTTAAAATTAATTTCCTTCTTTGTAATTTTCTTGTAGACTTAAGCTTCACAATACCAAGTGTCTCAATGGATAAATTTCACAATAAATCAGATTCTGTCTACCACCTCTTTAATTATTTTCTTTAACAAAACACAGATGTAAAAAACAAACAAACCCCACAGTGGATACAAATGAAAAGAATTAGCTTTGAGATGGCATTAATTAAATCTGTGTCTCAAATGGAGTGCTTGTATACAGTATTGAGTACATGCAGTTCAACTCCTTGGCCAGTGTACCCAAACCAGCTGCATACTTCTCATCCCTGGTGGTTGCCAATTTTCAGTCAGTATGATGAACACATGTTTACAGCCTTGTATGAATACCATTAGGTCTTTATTGATAGATGACTCCTTCATAATACCTGTAGCTCGTGGCACGTGGACACTGCAGTGCTAACTCAGTGCGCTGAGTGAGGCCTCACTTCCACTAATTTAAGTCGCTGAGCTGGACTCTTTGCTGTTGGTTACTTTAGAGGAAGTTTAGCTTTTGGAGAATGAACAGAAAAGTGGGGAAAGACATGGAGTAAAAGCCTCATACTTTTAATTTCATATGATCAGTGTTAAAGAAGGAAAGAATCACTCTTTTTGTGCTGATGCCCCTGTTACGTCTTATAACACCTGGGTCTTTTGGTCCTCACTCATTCCATCCTTCTCCATGCTGAAAAACTTCAGCTTGTCTTTCTTTGGTCCGTGCTTTCGCCCCACTTTCCTGATTGCCTCTTTGGCCTGCATACCATAGGAGTCCTCCATGACTACTCTTCCTCTGAGAGAGTATCTGATGTAGGACCAGGAGAGGACGGAGCCAGTGTAAGACCTAAAAAACACAGGAGCATTATTAGTTATTGTTATTACACAAGCATAAAAGGAAGTCCAACATAAATGGTGCTCGAGTTTCACTCAAAGACACATCAGCACACAAGTATAAATCCACACCACGAAGAGCCACTGCAGCATTGGCTGATTTGATAAAGACTTATTACTGTTAAACCATTTGCAGTTTGTTATCTATCACAAATGCACTGTGCCCACCTCTCCAGGGACACAGTACACCTGGGAAAGGTACACAACAATCACGCTGGACCAATGAACTGGACTTTGGACACCAAACTTGCTTGGGCAAGGTACAGGTAATCGAGTGTCATTACGCCCTCAGTTTGAATATGTTTATAAATGGATTCCCTGTGAGAGTACTCTCTGAGTTCAGCGTAAGTCGATGTGCGTGCACACACACAGACACACACACACAGGATCTTACCCATAATAACCTCTGCTCATGTAGTAGAAGATTTCTTTATAGCGGAGTGGATAGTCCCACATCTGGATGTCTGTCAGCTGACCATCAAAACCTGGGAAATCAATCACAGGCACACCTGACCACACATACTGAACACACACACAGGAGACAGACATAATAGAGACAATGAGAGAAATTAAAGATGATTACATAAAAATAAGTAAGGTGCCTGTATTCTTTTACAGTCTAAGCATTTATATCTGCAATGAAGGATTCATCGTCTCATCATTTTAACAATTTGTTTCTTTGCATTTGTTCTTTCTTTGGTTCTTCTTTTCTATCTGTTGTCATCTTTGATGATTCCCAGTTTGCACTGAGGTGATTTGCAACAGTGTGAAGCTACAGAAATTAAAATGAGCACCTCCAACCGACCCAGTAACAAAACATAACTCAGTACATCTACTCAAGCGGTTTACAGATGTACAGTTTTTCTTACAGAAGGAGGGAAAAACACATAAAACAGAAACACATGAAGCAATAACTTAAACATTCAAAATGTTTAAGAAAGTGGATGGAAACAATCCATAAGTGTAGTCTGCTATATCTGCCTATAAGCCGATTTCAACCCTGTTCTCACCTGAGACGGCAGCACCTTCCTGATGCTCATGTTTGAGCCGCTGAACATCTGTACCACACCCTTCCTGGTGTCCACAGTGAGGCACACACTGGTCCAGAAGTCCGATCCGATGTTTGGCCAGAACTTGATGAGGGGCCACAGGTACACATAGTTGTAGTAACCGCTAAATGTCAGGCCATATGAGTTAGGGTTTGCCTCCAAACTCAGAGGGGATCTGTTTGGACTGAGGGTGAAAAGCGGGAAGCCGGACTGTAAATTGTCAGCCATGTAACGCAGACACACGGACACACCTACAGGAGGAGAGCAGGATCACAAATTTACCAAAGAAGAGCAAAAACTTAACAGCTTCTATAGTTGAATCTCATCTGAACACATGCATACAAATTTATAACAAATTTGTAATAAATACAACATACACTTGATTTACCACATTTTTGTACCTATGTTGGACTGTACTCACCTCTAGTTGGACTCTCTGTTGTCCAGGGATAGGTCCAGCGACGGTTGGTGGTCCAGGAAGGAGTAGAAAGGGGGGAGTAACGAGTGGAGCCCCAGGGACTGTAGGTAGGAGGTGTGGTGGGGATCCAGGAACGGGTTTTGTGTCTTCTGGTTGGGTAATCAGTGGTAGAAGGCGAGACAGAATCATAATAGGGCGGGTAGAAGGTTACACCTCCATAATTACGAGACAAAGTGAACATCTTCCCTCTTAGATCTAGTGCAGAACTTCCTGGAGACAGAAACACAAACAAGTGGTCAACATGATATGAAACTTTCTTTTTACTCATTAATATAAGTGCTTTTATGAACAGTCCATCATCCAGGATGAAGGTGGACTAGAGCAATAATTAAAGCCAGGAATGTGACTCCAGCCTGTTTGAGACTAGACGGATGTGCGGTTTGGTTTTAGATGCAACTGTAAGATGGAAAGGTGGCGCAGAGCACCTGGTGTGCATCTGCTAATTAACCTCTCTCACCTGAGGTGCAGGGCAGGAGGGGACAGAGTGTGTGAGCACAACAGGTAGCTGTGCTGCAAAGCAAACAGTCAGTGCTCTGCAGCTGGGCTTTACAGTGGAGCAAAGGTTATCTTCTGTTTTTAGAAGCTGCATAAATAAAGAGGTACGTGTGGAGCTCCAGTCCTCACTGATGAGAACTCAGTGACACAAAGATATCAGATTTTCACTACTGTGACAAGACGAATTCACTTTAACTGCAGAGATATATCCTTAAACATCCTTAATATCGAGCAGCTTTTTATAAACCTCCATTTGTTCCAAAACACTGCAATGAAAGTACAAAGAGAGGCTGGAAAGAAAGATCATATCTCTTAATTGATCTGCTAAATCCAGAACCTTAATTATTACTAAAATTAAAAACCCTTCTTCTCATGTTTAAAGTGGTGTGAAAAAGTGTTTGTCCCGTTCCTGATTTCCTAGCGTTATTTGTCACACTTGCATGTTTCAGATCATCAAAGAAATGTAAATATTAGACAAAGTAAATACAAAATGCAGTTTTTAATGATGATTTCATTGATTAAGGGAGAAAAGTTATCCAAACCTCCCAGGTGCAAAGAAACACCTGAGAAACAAAGTCAGAGACATCTGTCAGTCTAAAAAAAAGTTACAATGACATTTTCTTCAATGAACACAGTGAGAGCCATTATACTCAAATTGGAAAAAACGTGGAACAGTGGTGAAGCTTCCAGGAGTGACTGGCCTACCAGAATTACTCCAGGGGCGCATCGATGATTCATCCAGGGGATCAGAAAAGAACCCAGAACAACATTAAGGAACCACAGACTTGATGTGTCTTCGTTAAGGTCAGAGTTCATGATTCAACAATAACAAAGAGAGTGGGCAAAAATGCCATCCATCGGAGAGTTCAAGGACAAAACCACTGCTGACCAAAAAGAACACAAAGGATCGTCTCACAGTTGCCTGAAAACATTTAAATGATCCTCAAAACTAAAATACTCTGTGGACTGACGAGACAAACAATGACATTTTTAGAAGCGTGGTTCCCATTTCATGTTGCATAAAAGTAACACATCATTTCAGAAAAGAAACATCATACCAACAGAAAAATATGGTGGTGGCAGTGTGATGGTGTGGGGCTGTTTTGCTGCCTCAGGACCTGGAAGACTTGCTGTGATAAATGGAACCATGAATTCTGCTGTCTACCAAAACATCCTGAAGGAGAATCTGTTTGTGACCTCAAGCTGAAGCACTATTCAAGTACAACGATCCAAAATACACCAGCAGCAAGAAAAACAAAATTAAGTTAACTTTGGAGCGATCCAGTCAAGGTCCTGACGTGAACCCGATAGAGATGCTGTGGCATGACCTTAAAAAGGTGGTTCATGCCTACAAAACCCACCAATGTGGTTAAATTACAACAATTCTGCAAAGATCAGTGGGCCAAAATTTCTCACTGCCAGTTATGACTGACGCTTGATTGCAGTTGTTGCTGCTAAGGCTCAACCAGTTATTAGGTTTAGAGGGCAATAACTTTTTCACACAGGGCCATGTAGGTTGGGACTTTTTTCCCTTTAATAATAAACACCTTCATTTAGAAACTGCATTCTGTGTTTACTTGTGTTTGTATTCTTTGTTTAATATTTTAATTTGTTTGTTGATTTGAAACATTTAAGTGTGGCAAACATACAAATAAAAAAAGAAATCAGGAAGGGAGCCAACACTTTTTCACATTACTGTATGTCCTGAATGATTGGGCCCCAACATACAGCTCAGAGCATTATTCCACCAGAGCACTTGGCTCTCCGGCTGCAGCCATACTTGTGGTTTGCAGAGTTTGGAAAAGCAGCGTAGGAGTCCGAGCCTTCAGCTGCAGTCTACACAAAATAAAAGCAACAGCAAATCTGACTGCATATCACATGGGCCTCTTTAAATATTGTTAATAAAATCAAAGGACCATTGTTATAGTCCTTTGTCTTTACTGCATGTGCATGATTTTAATTAAGAAATATTTTCACTGCTGCAATTTTGGTAATAATATTTGCATTTAACCACATTCTTTTCTGTGTGTGTACCTGTTGTTCTTGGCCATGAATCTGGTTGTTCAGATGGAGTTGGTCCACCAATCACCTCCATAATAACCATCAGAAAGGGAACAAGAAGCAGCTTCATCTTTATGCCTGACACTGAGCGTCCCTGCAGTGAAGCGTGTGAGCGTCCTCGCTGTGTGGATGTGTTTATCTCTCTGCTTCCTCTCTGAGTCTGAGCAGGCTCCACTTCAGCTCTGTAACTTTCAGTTTACTCGTTCAGACGTCAGCAGCTGCTTTAAGTTTCATTTCTGTAAACAGAAACTCTCCTGAGTGTCCCTGTCGCCTCCTTTCCCCTCCTTTCAGTGTTGCAAGATTAGACAGATAGCAGCAAATGTGAAGTCACAGGGAGGTCACATTTTCTGTGTGTCCAGGACAAAGGGAGTTGAAAAGAAATCGGTACAGTTGTAATGAAGTGGAAAACCATAAATGAAGTCTAAAACTGTGAACAGCAGGCTGCAAACACGCTTTTTAATGCTGTGAATTTGGACATTTTAATCTAATGGGGTTGACCAGGGACAAAAAACGCAGTTTCTGGCATTTAGGGACATTTCATTTTCACCCCTCCCTGAACCTGGTTATGACAGAGGCTTATTCACCCCCCCCCCCCCCCCAACACACACACACACACACACACAAAAGATAAATTATCTTTGGGTTGGGTTTATTGTTTATCTTTGCTCTAGTTAATATTTAATTAGTCATCTGCAGCTGTTCCTACAGTTTAGACACTGCCTACGTCTCTGAGTTTGCATGCATAATATATAATACTTATTGTAATGTGTTTTTTTTATCCAAACTGTGAAGCACTTTATAACTGTGTGTTTTCAAAACTGCTACACAAATAAACTGTCTTTTTCTTGTATATATTTTCTCAGTCTTCCTTTGTCGTGATATTTTTGCAGCTGTGTGTTTCCTCGCTCTGTGCGTCCTGTATTTGCATCCCTTGCGACTTCTGGTATTTGGACTCTGATATTATTCCTGTGTGTTTTGGGCATTTTGGACTTTGTTTGCTTCCTGGACTATCAGCTTTGAAAGCTTCCTTTGAGTTTCGTGCCTCTCCTGCATCCTATATTTGGCTCTGCTAAAGTTAATCAACAATCCACACAGCACAGTGTGACAGAAACTCACTGCTCAAATACTTAAAAAAAAACACCAATACAAAGGCAATGGACCTGTTTTTAGAATATTTGAGTAACTGATAATGTGTCAGTAATCCGGTTCAGTTCACTGTGCCGTAATTGTCTACATGGAGGAATCTATCATGAAGAGGAGCATGTGATGTCTCATTGTGCTGTCCTGAGCCGCAAACACACCTCAACCATGGCTGCAAGTTCAACTCAGAGGTCATGACTGCTGTGCGGTATGAATACAGTCCATAAAGGCTGATTCCAGTCTATTTAGACTAAAGTAACACTAAAAGATTGAGTAGCTCTGCTCACCACAACAGCTTTTCCACATCATTTAACAAGAGGTAAAACTGACACAAGAACCAATACTATATGGAAATTCTTAAGTTACTTTAGCTTTCATTAAATCTGTATGTGAGCTTTTACTTCCTCTACTCAAACCAGTGCTGAACTTTATCTCATATTAACAGCTTGCTGTGTCTGTAAATTTCATCTTTCACTTCCTTAAACTTGTCGCCCAAACTTTCACACAGAGCTCCAGAAACGTTTCTGAGTGAATATGCCAGTTTACTATGAGTACATTAGTCAAGACACATTTATTTAGGAAAGAAGTCTGAGAGTATCAAGAAACATTTTGATGCAGAGTGATAAGTGTTACTGTTCTGTGCTGCTCATGTTGGCCCTTGCCTCAGCTTTTGATACTGTTGGCTATCACTTTCTGCTCGGTAGGCTGAGGTGCTGGGTTGATGCATGAGGATCTGCATTTTCACTCCATAGGTTAACATCATTTGGGTTTGGCATTCAGGTGTAGGAGATCTGGTAAAAAAAAAAAGTGGAGAGAGGCAGATTTCTATTTGCTGCAGTTTTTTTTAAAGTTTACAAGCGCTGATGCTAGATCTCTGAATAAACTTAAGGAAATGTTGCCTCATCTTCTTATTTGTGTCACTCAAAAACAAATGTTGAGATGTAAAATCATCGCAAGTAAGCAACATATTTCAAACAGGAGCAGGAAGGTTTGAATGTGTGGAAACGTGAAGTTTTATCCTGCATGTGTGCGCGTATGTTGATGCTGCGACGATAATGATTCTCAGTACAGAATGCTAGAGAGCCTCATTTCATTATATTTCAGTGCGTATATTTACATCTGTGAAATCAGTAATGCAGCAAACAGATCGGTAAACTGATTGTTTCTGACACACACAGTTTTTGTAGGAGGACCACAAGTCCCACCTAACATGAAACATGAAAACAGATCGAGCGGTAACCAAAATAAATTTTTAGTTCCACATTTTTGTTCTTGAGCTTTTGTTTTGTTTCCTCTGATACTGGAGCATTTTGGAAAGAGGATATAAGATTCCAGAGGCTGTTTTCAAACCTTATGGCCACAGAATAAACTAATAAAGTAAAAGGGCAGAACTGTGAAAATGTTTTTATGACACTGGGTAGACTGATGTTATCTGCACGTTATCTAAAGACTCTTCATGTTGTATATATATTTTCTTTCATTTTTTGTTTTAAGGTCAGAAATGTAAGAAATAATATGTCTTCCTCAACATCTGTGCAGACGGTTGTCACATCAGCTCGGCCTGTTATCTTAGGCAGTTTAGCTTTTTGGTACAATGACAGCCTTTTCTTGCTCTCTGGACATTTTAACTACACTTTTGTTCGAAAGTGTCTTACAGTGCATTGGTTCACCTGCCTCTGGTAAGGTCTTATTTAAAAGCCAGTTAAAAACATCTTTTAAAATCAGCTTTTTATTAATTTCTCTTATTTTGTTTTTTTATGCATTGTTGGCTCCTACGACGTACTTATTAAGCACTCTGTAATTTTATATCTTGAAAGGTGCTTTATAAATAAAGTTTTACTTATTTACTTACTTGGAAAATAAATAACATGGCTATGTTAGAAAGAGAAATCCAACAGTGAGACAGGTCGGCTGAGGTTAGGCTGGAACACAAGACAGTTTGTGGCTAAGTTTATAAGATAAACCTTTATTAGTCCCACAAGTGGGAAATTTGCTTAAAATAAGCATATTTTAGTAATACATTTAACCACACGTGACTAAGAACATAATTAAATGTCATTTCCATGTATGTTATTTACAGTTACAATTAAATACCTACAAATAATTAAAGCTAGGCACACTAGAAATAGTTATACTGTAAGCAAATTATGTACTGCACAAGTACTTAACTTAGTATGCACTCAAGTATGTAATGTGTAAGTCATCTTCGGTAGTAAATAAGTAATTTTAGTAAGTACATGACTTCAGATGTTTTACAGGAAAGGAGAGACTATTCTGGAAGTCATGTGAAGTACTGTGTAAGTGATTTTAAGTTGTGCATAAATTCATGTTTTATATGCGAATGAAGAAATTATTACATTGTAAGTAAATTTAGGTATTTCTTGGTAATTTTGGGGAAAAAAACAATATTTCACCATCTTACATAAACTGTGTATAGTAGGAGTATACTGAGCTTTTCAATGGTTTAACCTTGCCTAATGTCATGATCCGGAGTTTGTGACTCCGTGTTTATGTTTTAGTAGTTATTATTATTCTGGGTTTTGTTTTCATGTTCCTATGTGTTCCCCAGTCTGTGTGAAGTTTTTGTGTTGTGTCATTGCGTGTATGTGTTTCCTGTTTTATTTTGAAGGTCTGCGTCTTATGTGAGTGTTTTCAGTTTGCCTCCCTAGTTAACCACTCCCAGCTGTGTCCCCCACCTGTGTGTGATCTCCCTGTGTTCTCTGAGTGTTTTTAAGTCTTGTCTTCTTAGTCGTTGCTGGTTCGTCTGTGTTGTTTCCCCTCGGTCTCCCTGCGTCTCTCTGTATGTATTTCCCCGGACCTCCCTGCATCTTCGTTTCTGGTTTGTTTTGTTAGTTTTACCCAGTTTAGGTTTCCGGTTTCATGTTCACCCACCATTGCTGTTTGTACCCACTCCTGTAAATAAATACTCACCTGCACTAGAGCTGCCACCTTTTGGGTCCTTTCTACAACTCCACACGTCTGCCACACCGGACGTGACACCTAAATTCCAGATATTTTACTGCTTTCCTGTACACTCATATTTGTACGGTGATTGTGAAATTTTAAAATACATAAACAATTAAGTTGGACTTGGCTCTATCATTATAAGGCGACATGAGCCTGCAAACGTTGATTGTATTGATTTTTTCTTGTAAGTTAGTAAGGGACAACAGTGCTAATCACATTTACATAGCAATATAAAAGCACAGTTGAATAACAGAATATCCAACATGCACATCAACATACTGAATATTAAATAGAGATGTAAAAAGGCAGGATTAATCCACTTCAGACTGCAGCCCATGCCCTGAAAAATAAAGGAAAATGTTTGTTTTTCTGTAAAGTTACCATGAAACTGTTGATAACTGAAAAGTTTATATTTTCCACAATTTACAATATCATTTTCATTTTCTTACACAGTAAAAATGGCATTTTGTTTAATTTACTGATAATTTCTGTTTATTTAAGTCATAAAGTAAATTAGTGAATCAGTGAAGCCAACAGTGTCACTGCTCATGCCGACAGACTTCATCAAGGAGATGAAAGCTTTAATTATTCTCCCACCAAAACTGATAATTTTGTTTAGATGTTTTGGAGGAATGATGTGCTCACTTCCTGAAGTTTTGTTTTGTGCTTGTTTTGGTGTCAGCAGACTGTGCAGATTGAACACTCAGCACAACCTCTTTAGCAAACAGCTGCTCTGAGTTTTCAGTGCTATCCTTGTGGCCCTGATCATCCGTTTTCAAAGTTTCTTTAAGTATGGTACCCATGTTGTCCAAAACAGCCTCCTCCGACACTTCAATGTTGGCATTCTGGGTGATCATTTGAAAGTGTTTCGACGCAGTTTCAATGATCTCTATAATGGCCTCTGGCAGAAGAGTCTTAGTGGCTATGTCGGGGTTTCCTGATTTAATGGAACGCCACTGTTCGGCTGTCATGTTTTCAAAAAAAGATTTGATGACAGGACAAACACGAGCTGCTGTCAGTTCCTTAATGTTCTCTGTATTTAGGAATTCTTCTTCAATTTATAATATTTGTATATTAGGCTGGGTTAAATGATTATTTGTTAGGTTTTGAGTTGAACGTGTCTTAAATGGACTTTCACGTTG